CATTTGAGTATAACGTATTGTAGAGAACTCGAAATCACTCCATTCTAATTTCATGTGAATGGTAACTCAATAAGGTACAAATGTTATGAAGACATCATGGCAAGAAAAGGAAAGGAACAATACTCAATCAACCGATAAAGTCAGATGTTGCTGGTGGGATTTCAGGGTGCATACCTCTCAGTGTTTTATCTATATCTGTTGATTGGATGAATAAAATCACGTCATTTAAGTTTTGTTGGATAGAAGACTTCATTATCTACAACTTTGGTGAAGGAATCATGTCCAATTTAGTAGCGTAACATCTCCAAAATCCCGGTACAAAAACTGACACTTTTTGATCCATTTCGGAGGAAGAGAAATGAAGTACATTTTTGGGCGCAGCAACCGGCGCCGGTCGGTCTTGAACCGGCGCCGGTCGGAACGTTTTTTCTCGCACAAATGAACCTGTTTTCAACCGGGGCCGGTCATCTGACCAACCGGCGCCGGTTGGGTCGATTTTATGCTAAAAAACAGCATCATACAAGCTGATTCTTGATGGGAAAACCCCATCTTCCTCAATGCTAATCAAATATTGCTTCCATACCTCATTGTTGGGTTCGAATAGACTAAAAGATGTCATTCTTTAGCCTATATAAATCCCTCAATTCATCATACAAACACATTCCATTTTCCATAGATTAATTCTTAGCTTTTATATTTTTGTTCTTGGTATTTTCTTCAAGTTCTTGAGGAGGGAAGTTCATCCTCCGAAATCATTGGTGTTTAGGTATTATTTCCTTTGTAATTTCATGTTCCATTACATTTATTATTGTATTGTGATTAATATGAGCATTAGAGGCTAATTTCTTAGCTAAGGCTAGGGATGAACTTCTATGCCAACTAGGTGTTTGATAAAAGTTCTAAACCAATAAATTGTGATTTATCCTTTATATATTGATTGTTTATGACTATGGTGTACAACATAGAAGTATGTTAAATTTAGTTTATGCTTGCAATTAACGTTGAAGTCTAAACTATGAACATTAAAGGATAAACATATATAGTACCGAGAATAGAAATATATCCGGTCTTATATGATACGGGTGTGATGTCTTGATATTCAACGGGGTTTTCGGTAGATGAATGTAAGCCGTAACGGGACTTACACGTAACGAAAACCACGCTCTCGCTGCCTTAACCGGAGTTGAGAATATATTAGCGACATCGTATTCATAATTATTGGTAAAGAACTAATATTCAACCCTATTAAAGTATTTAAGTGATTCCCTAAGCCTTAGTTGTTGTTATCATTTATTTTGAACTCAAAGTTAGTTAACGATTATCTTGTTGAACAAAAAGTGAAAAAACCAAAAATATAAAACACAAATCAAAATCCCTGCACTTTATTCAATTCTTCATTTAAAGTTATCTACTCTCGGACTTGAATTAAACAATGTTTCCTTGTGGATTCGACCCGGTATTTTACCGGAATTTATTACTATATCGTCACTTGTACACTTGCAAGTTTAGCCCGATCAGCCCCCATGGCCGAAGGCCCCAAAAACTCACAGAACAACTAATTTTACGCATACAACCCTACTGGGAGAAAACGACGGAAGTCAGGAGCCTTCGGCTACACAGAGCCCCCGGCCACAGGGGAGCCTTCAGCTACAACACAAAACATCGAAGATTCCCTTTGGAGACAAGCAACAACCGCATTTAATGCGGCGTCACATCCACCCACCGCATTTAATGCGGTGCACATGCGTATGCCGGTGCCATCCCGATTGAGGTGACCCCTCAACTGCTAGATTGTTGACACGTGTACTCTTATCGCATTTATTACTGCTATAAATAGCAGCTCATTCTAATAATGTAATAGTCTAGGGACTTCTGTGTAAACGCTCTCAACCCTGTTTTATTATAAATACATGATGACGGCACCCAGTAGGGTAAGCCATTATTTTCCCAAAATTATCTTTTTGTATATGGTATCAGAGCTGAGATTACACGATACCGAACCTGAAAATCCAGTAAAAGCAGAACCACGCGGTGGATAAGCTGGCTGCCCCGCGGTAGCAGGGTACACATGCTGCCCACCATAGGGTGGCGGCGGCTGCTGCAGAAATTGCCCACGTCCACGACCGCGACCTCCACGGCCACGGCTGCCCCTGTTATAACGTCCACCGGAGCCGCGAGAAGAGCCACCTCCACGTGCACCCCCTCGGTGCGAGGCTGGCTGAGAACTGGCTGCTGGTGCCGCAAAAGCCTGATGAACGGGAGGAGCCTCCTGAGTCTGTAAATAAGCATTCCTTTGCTCCTGAGCTTGTAAAATCGGACGCAATGTGTCCAGTGTGGCATCTCCCGGAAAATAGGATATAGCCGTGATGAAAGACTCATACTCACGACCAAGTCCAAGAATAGCTTGTTCAATCAGGTCCTTATTACTAACAGGGGAATTAATAGCTGCCAGGTTATCTGCCATGATCTTAATTTCTAATAAATATTGATCCATAGTTTGCGACTCCTTCTTTTTCACATGTGAAAGCATTCTTTTAAGTTCCAAAGAACGTGCTAAACAGGCAGATTGAAAACGATTTTGAAGACGTTCCCAAATTAAATGAGAGAATTTAAGATCATACACCTCCATCAAAACATCCCTAGACAAGGTAGCAAACAACCACGACCTAACTGTTTGATCAATTTTAAGCCAATGATGATAATCTGGGTTAGGTGTTTCACGCCTAGCGAAATCACAAACAGTAGGTGGCGGGACCAGGATGGACCCATCTAGTATCCCAAGAAGACTATGAGATACTAGAAAGGATTCAAACTGGGTACACCATGGTAAATAATCCTCAATCGCCGACAAACGTGTAGTGACGATATTAGTAACATTGGGGGTTGAGAATGCTAATTGGGATGCAAGGGATGATAAAAATGTGGGAGGTGATGAAAAACCTGGCAGATGAGATGAAGTAGCAGAATGCACCGGCAATACTCCAGGCTGGCCCGAGAATGTGGGTCCAGCATACTCCACAGACTTGCCGATGCCATGACTAGGCGATTGACCCACGAAATCTGAAGATGCGGCAGTAAAGAGAGATGGGGCCGGCATATGAAAAAGATTGTAGGAAGTAATAGGCATCCCAATAGATGCAAGTGGAATTCGTGGGGTCCCAAACATAAACTCCATAGCACTTGGGGAATGCATCGAAACTGTTGATGCACTGCTGAAGGGAATAAAGCAGTGCATCAACAGTTTCGATGCATTCCCCAAGGGAATAAAGCCCTGCGACGTGGACAAAGGAGCAGAGACTTGTGGAGTACGGATGTCTGTTTTCATGAAGGTAGTGGAGTTAGGCAGCGCTGTACTAGCAGCGGCCATGGTGGCTGCGTCAACCGTTGAGGCGGCGCCGTGCATTAGGGAGAGAGGATCGGTAAACCCTAATCAACTGATACCACGTGCCCCCTGTTATAACGTCCACCGGTTGCCCCTGTTATAACGTCCACCGGAGCCGCGAGAAGAGCCACCTCTACGGGCCGTGTCTATGTTAGTAGGGATGTAGTTTTTCATGAAAATGAATTCCCATATTTGAAACTAATCCCCAAACCCGTTGCCCCAGACCCTGGCCTTACTTCCCCCTGGTTATCCACCTCTGTTCAACAGCAGCCTAGGCCTTCAGGTTCCTCTTCCTTGTATCTTACTGAACGACCAGATCATGTCACCATGTCCCTCTCACCCGCACACCAGCAGCTCCCAGATCAGCACACACCCACGACCAGTCCTTCCCAGCCACCAACGCAGCCCTCTTCCCCCACCACTCCTTCATCTCCCTCCCAGACCAGCCCACCCGACACTCCACCCACTTCGTCACTCACACCTTTGCTCAGTCCGACACCTAGGTCTTCCGCAGCACCGGTCTCCCCTGTCCCCAGGCCAAACATCCATCCCATGCTAACACGCGCCAAGGCCGGTATTTTCAAACCTAAAACAATTTTAAATTTGAGTGCCTTTTCTCCCCCGGATGATCCCACATGTTTTACACAAGCTAATAAACATGTTGTTTGGCGGGCTGCCATGCCTGATGAATTTAATGCATTAATTGCTAACAAGACATGGGATTTAGTACCTTGGGATCACACTAAAAATGTGGTAGGGTGTAAGTGGATTTATAAGACAAAATATTTTTCCGATGGGTCTGTTGAGCGTCACAAAGCTCGTCTTGTTGCTCAGGGTTTCAAACAGCAGACTGGAATTGATTTTACTGAAACTTTTAGTCCTGTTGTTAAACCCACCACTGTTCGTCTTGTTTTATCTGTTGCGGTATCATTAGGATGGTCTGTTCGTCAACTTGATGTGAAAAATGCTTTCTTACATGGTCATCTCACTGAGGAGGTTTATATGCGTCAGCCTCAGGGATTTGTTCATCCATCCTTTTCTAACCATGTTTGTCGATTACTAAGGCACTTTATGGTCTTAAACAGGCCCCTCGTGCATGGTTTCATAGGTTTAGTGGTTTTTTACTCAGTCGTGGTTTTACTCAGAGTAAATCTGACTCATCTATGTTCATCTATCGATCTTCCTCACAGGTTGTGTACATTCTGTTATATGTTGATGATATATTAATTACAGGGTCATCTGTTCCCTTTGTCAAGTCCATCATTCATACTTTGTCCCTTCACTTTGCCATGAAAGATTTGGGGGATATTCATTATTTTTTGGGGATTCAGGCACAATGCACGCCAAAGGGGCTTTTTCTTTCTCAGGCCAAATATATATATGATCTATTGCGTCGTTTTCATCTCCATACTGTTAAGCCTGTTCGTACTCCATTAACCTCTCGCACTACGCTCTCTCTCACAGATGGGGAACTCTTAACTGATGTTACTGAGTATCGTAGTATGGTAGGTGCTTTACGGTACTTGACTATTACTAGACCTGACATTACATATGCTGTTCATCTGGTATCTCAGTTTATGCATGCTCCACGCCCCTAACATTTATTGGTTGTCAAAAGAATTTACAGGTATTTGCAGGGCACTTCCACTCATGGACTCTGGTTGCGGTCCGATAAGCACATCTCAGTCATTGTAGCCTATTCTGATGCTGATTGGACAGGGTGTCCAGATAGCTCTCGCTCTACCACCGGCTATGCTGTGTTTTTAGGAAATAATTTGATATCTTGGCGGTCCAAGAAGCAACCCACCATGTCCAAATCCTCCACAGAAGCTGAGTATCGGGCCATTGCTTATACTGTTCAGGATACTATGTACTATGTTTATTCGCTCGCTACTTGCGGATATGGGCATCTTTATCTCCGCACCAGTTCAGCTGCACTGTGATAATGTTTCTGCTTCTTACCTAGTTGTGAATCCTATTCAGCATGATCGCAGCAAGCACATTAAAATAGATTACCATTTTGTTCGTGAGCGTGTGGCACATGGAGATCTTCAAGTTAAATATATACCTACTCAGTTCCAACTTGCAGATATTTTTACTAAAAATTTATCTAGTCAGCGTTTTGAATTCTTACGATCCAATCTGCGCGTTGTTTCCCCTGCACAGATTGAGGGGGTGTAATAATGTAATAGTCTAGGGACTTCTGTGTAAACGCTCTCAACCCTGTTTTATTATAAATACATGATGACGGCACCCAGTAGGGTAAGCCATTATTTTCCCAAAGTTATCTTTTTGTATACATTCTCCATGGTAAAGCATCACAAGTTCACATATTCGAATACATTTTCTCTTTCTTAGTTATTGCTCTAACTTCTCTCTAAGTTATTCCCGTAATAGCCCATCGGATAAGCTATCCCGGGGTACACTATGCATCAATATCATTACGGAAATCGCAAATTATAACTAACACACATTTTACTATTTTTTAGTTCTCAATTAGGAACTACTAAGAATCTTTAATTTCTTTTTGACAAACTCGTCTATTCCACCAATATTTTTTGGAAAATCATCACAAATGAGTTAAAAGTAAAAAACGATATAAAAAATTAATCACCTAAATTTACCTTTTCATCATTGACCTACAAATCTACTTTTTATTTTTTTAATTTTAGACGCGTGAACTTAATGTTATGTTTGTTTTCAAATGAACCTAGATTCTTCAAAATTTAATTCAATGTTCAATAGACTAGACCTCAAATTTATTTATCATATATATTAATACCCGTTGTCACATTTATTTATCATTTTGTAGTGAAGAGAAAAAATAAGATACTTTTATAATCATGTTATAGATGAAAATCTAATACTGTGTAGTAAAAAGGAGCAATGCATCATTCTGTGTTTCCACTTTTTATACATTTAAAAATTATATACTCCGTATATTGGAAAAGTAAAAATTAGGCTCAATCTTGTATAAAATATTTTGGACATTTATTTTTCTTCATAAATCATTTTATAATACCCCTAACTTTGTCAACTTCTGTTTTTTTATTGTCCCACTAACTTTGTTGATTTCCCTTTTTAATAAAGAATTTGTGGTTCGAGACAATTCTATTAACTCTGCACAAATCTAAACCACATAATTTTTACTTTATTAAGGGACGGAGGGAGCAGTAATTATCAACTCCAGGGAGACCTGGATTTCTTAATGAAACTAAATCTTGAATCTCGATTTTACGGTGTTTTTTGAGTTCATGATTCATTTGGATGGGTCTTGCTTTCATATGTATTTGTTTGTCAGAGAAATCATTTTCATATGGTAAATCTACCCTATGTCGTTTTGTATCCCAAAAAGCATTTGGTATTTCAGAACAATTTATTTTTCAATTTTCTGTGGGATTTTTGAAGTTTTTTGTTTCACGAAACTTTTTTGTAATTGTTCTTCGATTTTTAGAAAAGAAAGGTCTTGCTTGAGAAAGTATAATTGTTTTTATATAAATCGCATTATTATTATTATTATTATTATTATTATTATTATTATTATTATAGAAATTGCATATTATTAGGATAAGAAAAGTTGAAAATTACAAAGAACAAGTAGGGAGCCTAGCAACAAGTTGAGCTTCTACACCTTTTTGAATAGCTAAATCAATCCTAATAAAAAGAAAATTTTCACCTTTTAAGGTAGAATCATGTCTATCAATGTCACTCTTAACACGCTCGAGAAACAAAACAGTTTCTGGTCCAAGATCCCCAAAGGTAGTGAAGCCTAAAGTGTCAAAGTTCAAACCATTAGCCTTGCAAATATCAGCATATTTGTGTTGCTTCCTTTCAATAGCTCTAGCCAATGCAATCCCAGGTTTGAAATGCACCAGATCAACATCACCTGCAAATGGGGAAACAATGGTGACATCCAAGCAAGTATCACCACCACTATCCCATCCATAGAGAAGAATATTTGCAGGCTTAGTACCACCACCATGTTGTGTAAGAAAACCAAGAGGTGCCTCAATTCTATGAGCAATACCAACCCGGAAGCAAATATCAGCCACAATATTCTGAACCAAATTGTGTCTAAATTTAGGACCAATTAGGCTGGAACAATAAAGAGCATGATCACCCCAGATATCCATACTACCTAAACAACATGAACAAATAACACCTTCTTGGAAAAGAGGAATGCCAAACCTGTAAGCAATAATAACAGTAAACTGCCTAGGATTAAGAGTTTGTCCAAGCCCTTCAACAGGAATTGCAAGGAGAAAATCCATAGCATATTTCATTTTGTTACTTCTCCAAAGAGCTAAGTCTCTACAACTCATATTAAAACTGGAAGCCATGCTCTTAACTACACAAGTGAAATACTGAGATGCCAAAGCTTTCATAGGATGGGGGGCAAAAACAGTATTACCTTGAGTAGCAGGAAGACCACATGCTTGGTTAAAAATACACAGAGCTTGCTGCAGAGGAAGAAAGCAATCAGAAATTGAAGTATGGCTAAGGATTTGAGCTTGTAACCCATTAGTTTGAATATGAGAAGTTATGTAACAATACAACAGAGTATCTTGCAAACAATAAATACCCCGTCCTCCTTCATGTATGGCAAGGTAGCCAACCTGTACTGCAATGGACTAAAACCTGCACCTTCTCCAAGGATAAGATTGTGCAGAAAATTGTAAAGGTGCTCATGAAACAAGGATTGCGCAGGTAGGATATAATCAGGACAAGTAGTCCTCATGGTAAAGTACAATTTTGAAACTTCTACACAATTCCTCAAAAGAAGCAGTTCACACTGGGGGTCTTTAATAGCACCAACTGCAGTCATAAGGTTTATAGCTTTTTGGGTTCTACCAATGACCATCTTCTCACAAAAGTCAGAATTCCTGCTAATAGGTGCTCCCAGTAGCTTCACACCTTCAACATGATTACTAATATTAGCAGGGAAAGCACCACATTGAAGCCTGCGAGGATCAGGAGATGGCCAATTGATTTCAGTCTTCTCCACATTCATATTTAGACCTCTTGCCCTGCCTTCTTGCTGAATGATGTGAAAAGCTTAAGAGATTTCAAGAGTATCTCCAATTAAGGTACCATCATCTAAATACCATGCTTGGAAATCAAGTTTACACAACTGAGAGACCTTAAGGACAACTGGATGCAAAGTAAGAGCAAAAAGAAGAGGTCCAAGGGGATCACCCTGCTGCACACCCTGAGATGAAGCAAGTGTGTGTGTATTATAGTAGAGTCTGACAGGAGAAAAATAGCAGAAACGCACCCAATGGTAAATGCTTGGGCACCTAAGAAGAACTTCTTGAAGCATTGAAGATATGTCAACCATATTAAAGGCATTTTGGAAGTCTACAAGAAGCATGGATTTAGGATTATCATCCCCAAGATCATGAACAATACGATTAACAGAATGTAAAATGGCTTCTCCCCCACACTTAACACCCACACCATAATGGAAATTACCCAAGCAGGAAGCCATTTCTTTATTAACCATAGAAGTTGCAACCTTGGACACCAATCTCCTCCAAATGGTACCAACTGCAATAGGTCTGACACCCCGTCTGGTTTGAGCAAGGGGGTCAAAGGTGCACTAGCATTAAACTCACCTAGTTGTGATGGGCAACTACCTGACAACAAGAGGTTGACAATAGCAGTAATCGAACTAAGGACTTCATTAGCAATAGCTGCAGCTGGACCAGTGAGTGCATCAAGGATATGTTTGGCATGAAGTCCATCTCTTCCACAACTAGTCCGTTTAGGAAAGCTACATAATCTGCTAAACACCAAATCAGAATCTGCCATAAGGGGTTGCACATTATGAAGTTCAGTGGCTAAAATAGGTAAAGGAGCAGATGGATGCTTGGATAGGAGAATAGATAGGGTTGTTTCATTTGCAGGGGCAACACCATTTGATGTTAAAACCCTTATAGCAGCAGTATAGGCCCCAGTAGCTAACTTCCTTTTACAAAGTTGTATGTTAATACTATTCTGATTCTTCCCAGAGATAGATGCTGGCTTAGACTGGAGCTTATAATCATCAAGCAATTCCTGGACAAGATCAATACATCCCTCACCTAACCCCCATTTATGTAAAGCCTGATGAATAGCTCTAATCTGCAACTTCCTCTTATTACCAGACCTTTGTTCTGGACTAGTTTTAGGGGAATATACCATAAGAATGCAAACAGGAAAGAGAAGGAGTCTAACCAAACAAGCAATATCCATGGGATTAACCAAACTTAATATTGTTGTTGTTGTTATTGTTATTATTGTTATTTTTATTATTGTTATTATTGTTATTAATATTATTATTATTATTATTATTACTATTACTACTATTACTATTACTACTACTGGTATTGTTGTTGTTGTTGTTGTTATTATAAGAGATTCAAATAAAAAGTTCTTCTAATTTACAAAGTACAAACTCATGTTGGCCCTTTGTTGAGTTGATCTCATGGCTAAGACGTACGGTGGCATTTTGGTAATAAAACTAAAGTTTTTTCAAATGCAATATTTTGAACTTTGATATGCATCTGTTTATTTCAGTCGTTGGATTATATTATGTTGCAGTAAAAGAGCTTCATGTTGGACTGAAGAATGCAATCATGTGTGGTGGCTTTTTTGCAAATGCTTTTGAAAAATCCTAGCTTTGTTACACCTTTATGGTGTAAAATGAAGTTGTTTTAATGCAACATCATCAAATCCTAGTGCAATATAAAACTATCTTTGTAGAACATCATAAAATATATTTCTAGTGCAACATGAAGCCGTTTTAATGCAACATCATAAATCCACAACAACTGAGTTCATTCTCATTTCTCACATTTGATGCATTTCTCACTTCAATCAAAATCTATATATAATATCCAATTCCAGTAAAAAGTAGATTTTCCGTGCAAATTCTGAAGGTCTCAACGTATGATCATTCGTGTTGCACTATATTGACGAAAGTATTAATGGCTCAGCAGACTTGTAGCGCACCAACGGTCTGGTCATATAATTTTATGCTATTAATTAATTAATGTAATATTTCAAACCCAACCAAATACGTAAGTGTGCATGCCTTGAAATATTACATTAATTAATTAATACGGAGTACTTCGTAACATAAAAGTATATGATCCGTTGGTGCGCTGCAAGTCTCCTGAGTCGTTACGGTGCACTATTCAATACTGGAAGCGCACATTTTGCAAGGAAGAAAAACTTGAATTTCACCGCATTTTTCATTCACTTTAATGCATTTTTAACACTTGTAAACTATTAGATC